CCCCCAAAACCCCAAAACCCCAAAACCCCTATATTTTATCCCAATATTGAAAGGGTAAGAGGTGTGGAAAGTCATGAAGAACCTCTCTAGAGTTTCATCACCATTTCTCTTCCCTTAGCAATACCACAAAATCCCATGGATGGCAAATATAAGGCTCCAAACCTCATTGTCTGTGTCTCGAGCTTCTTTTTTGAGTAGACCAGCATGCTAAAGTATTTAAGAATTTATAAACTATACTGAGAAAGACTTATTGATTAATTAGTGCAGGTTTACATGACCAAAGCAGCGAGAGACACTGCGATAGCCAGGATGGCTGCCGTTACTCTATGTCCTCTGCCTATTAATGTCACATTCTTTTCTCTACCCAGAGAAGTAGACAAGTCGGTAATTCCAGCAGCGAAGTTTACTGAGGTCGCATGATTGAACTTCCCAAAGCATCTGACGTACCAAGTCTCGTTCTGGTCTGGAAACGTTATAGTATTTGCAAGCTGAGAGGAGTTCAAACTAGTCCAAGTGTGAGATACAGTCTTTGCTGTGGAGTTATTAGAGTTTACACCTGCTGGAGAGGTAACAGCAGTCAAAGTAGACTGAGACGAGATGACATGATTGGTGGTTCCTCCCCAATGAGCTCCTGCGTAGAAGTTCACAGTGTCATAGACAGCTTCTAATGAGTTACAATTGGCTGCTCATTTCCATTCAATGCCAAATCCTTTCAGAGTGATGCTATCGCTGCTGAGTTCGTAATTATAAGAAATTACATCCACACAAGCTCCTGAGACGTAGTAATTATTCGTTAAAGGCTGAGTAGTAGACCCAAGTATCAACCCCAAGGTAACATCTGTATTATTACTATCTTCTGCATTTGCGGAAATATCAATGGTGAATCTGTAGCTTCCGCTCTCAGATAGAACAGTGGAAGAAGCTACAAGAGTAGCAGCCATTAGGAAGATGAGAGCTATTTTCATGTTTAAATTATTTTAGAATCATAGGGGTTTTGGGGTTTTGGGGTTTTGGGGTTTTGGGGTTTTGGGGTTTTGGGGTTTTGGGG